CCCCAAAACCCCAAAACCCCAAAACCCCAAAACCCCAAGTTAAAATTATAGTTGACGATTTAAAATAAAAATGCTACTTTTCTAGGACCTGTGGCTAAATTTTGAAGGAATAGCATCTCTGTTAGCTACATTTATCTTTTCAGCTAATAAATTGGCTTTTTCTTCGATTTCTGAAAATTCTTGGAATTCCCATGGGCTTGGTTTATCGTTCAAAACTTCAAAAGATACAAGGTTATGAGAAGGATGAGAATTAGGACGATTGGATTGCACTTTTACAGGGAGATTTTCTCACGCCAGATCAAAGCTAAAATGTCTACTTTCCTTTTTCATCTTGTTGTAGATAGGGGGTAATTCTTGCTTTAAAGTTTGATTGATTACAGGCTTTTCTTCTATTTCTAGAATTTAGGTGATAAATATTTACCATCTAATCTTTTTTCAACAGAATGTGAATTATTTGAAAATTTATAGATCTCATCTTCACTATCCTTTAACCTAATACCAAGGTTTGTAATGTCAGATTTCTTGTGGGAGTCATCTCAATAGTGCTCACTATGTTCTTTGTCTGCCAAAATATCACCTAGTAATTAATTGTTTCTAACATACTGTTAAATTTCTCATCGGATTTCTCTAGGTCCTATAAAAAGATAAAGAAGAATTCAGGAGAATATTAACCTTCATTACTGAGTCATGCTGATATTTGTTTCCTGCATTTTCATCTATTTAAAATTATTAGGATGCTTACTCTTTTTACTCTTTGAGTATAATATTTCACCTTTTTCTGAAAGATTATTTTGTGAGTTTGAGCAGTATCTTGGTGAGAATCGAGAATATTTCTGCCTCTTTACCGAACTAGCCTTCAGATATGACTTCCCAGAAGATTTATCCTCAATTTTCTTTATTTGAGGATGCTTCTCTCAAACTTTGTTTTGACAAGAAAGAGGGCCTGAAATACTTCTTTTGTCTGCTTCTTCAAAAGTACCTTCGTTTCGAGAACTATATAATATAAGAGGATAAATACCTGCTGTTAATAGCCAATTTAGTAAGATTCTTAAGAGTGTCGGCAAGTCCACTCTTATCAAGTTCGGCCATTCTTTCTCTTTTTGCTTCTTTCATCTTTTTCTGTGCTTCTTGCCTTTCCTTCTTACCAGGAAAATTGTGTATAGACATACTCAGGTTAGATTTCTGACTTATTTCATTAAGTTGATTTCTTTCATGTGATCAGTGCTGAGCAGATCCTCCAACTATTTCTTTCTCTTCACTGTCGTCACTCTCACTATCATCTGATGTAGTTATCTTAAACTTTGAGGCCTGAGAAAAGACACTTTTTCTTCTACCTATACTCAAATTAAAATTGAAGGTTCTAAATAGCACATTTATTATTTATCGGTGAATGAACATTTTTGAAATTTACCAAAATTATTCTTTGATTTGATTCTGTCAAACTGACTTCTGCGTCTTCTTCTCTGAGAGTACCTCCTATCTTAAAGGTGAGTAGATAAAGCCTACTTGTAAGACTTTGTGAACTATCAGCTTTTTTCTTAGGATTAGATTTCTCCTCCAAACTCATCTGGTCATAAAAGTCAATGAGTGAAACAAAAGATTCATTTTTCTCGACTCTCCTCTCAGTATGTAAAACCTGAAAATCGACTCATCCATCAGCTAATTTCTGATAATATTCAGACACAAGTGAGTCGTATTTATCTTTGCTAATTTTATTCCTCTTCACCAAAAATTTCTTTGTAGAAGATTCTCTTTCCAAAAGTTCTTTAAGGACTAATTCCAAATTTTCTAGAAACTTGGGGAAACTTGGCGAATTAATATGAGAAGTCTTTTGCACGACAAGTGAATTAGTGGTGGATTTCAACTCCCTTGCTAATTTACTAACAGCCATTGCGAGTATCTTTATTTTACAGTTTTCTTTATTGTTCTTTTTTGCCGTATAAATATTCCCTTCGGCTTTAGCTCTATTTGATTGTTGATAGACTTGGTTTAGAGTCTCAACGATAAACATGGGAGATTCCAATCCTTTGGAAAAGTCCATCGCCATTGGTTGGTCAGGAGAGGTCTTGATCCACCTATTTTTAATGTCTGATTAAGATAACTATCTTACCTATCTTTTTGTGGGAATCTTATTAGGGATTTATGATTATTTTTCTCTTTGTAACTTGAAGTTTTCAGCATTGGCTAAGAAATAGTTAAAAGTTATTAGAACAGGAATTTAATGAATCTCCTAAATTTTTTATAATTTTTTAAGAATCCTCAATTATTAGCATCTCTATCAAAGAAATATAAAATTTAGTGCTAGTATCTAAACTTTACAAAAGTTCTCTTAATGTAGAAGAGTTTACAAATTTTACACTTCAAAGGAAAGAGTATTATTTCTGAAATATCGGAAATCTTCAATGCACGAGAAGTGAAAGCAATTCTTTCATAACTTATTATGTCTAGAAATGAATTAGTGCCGGAGTCTAATACTGTCTTCTAAAAGCTATAGTTGATATAGGATTCTTAGAAGTAATTCATTTGTGTTATTAAGATGCACTTGAAAATATAACATAGTGTTTTGGAAACATCATCTTATTTAATGTTTCTGAATGCTTACCTCCTATTAAAAAGTACAATGCTAAAAACAGAGCTGAATAGGTAATGCTTGAGGTCCCAATATAATTCACCATCTTCTCAGTAAGACCTGGTTCATCATTTGATAACCAAAAATTGGCGATGATTCAGACCAGGCTTAAAACACCAGCAAAGAAAGCCTGAGTGGCTGCCATTAGCTTCATAATTTATAAATTTAGCGATATCTCTATGAGAAGTTTATATTCTGGGGTTTTGGGGTTTTGGGGTTTTGGGGTTTTGGGG